AGAATCAGTTCTGGAAAAAGTTGAAAGGGTAGGTTCAAAAACAAAGAGGAAAGTAAGATTTGTATCTGTTTTATAAAGAGGCATTTTGAAATTGTCTCCTGACTGGTCTGCCTATCTTCAATTCTACTGTCTCCCGTCCATTCTTCACTGTGTGTTCTGGAGGGTTCTCTCTACAATAAAAATCTATTCATGCCACTTTTGCTTACCATTCTTCAGGGGTTCCCTGTTGGCTTCAGAATAGAAAACAGACTCCTTATCAGGCCCACATTTCCAACATCTAGATCCTGCTCAACTCTCTACCTCATCTATCTGCCTTCCTGTTCTGCTCCATTCGACACATTACACATACCCCACAAAGCAAATACTTTGAATCCTCCAAATGTATTTGGCTATTTAATTTCTTTGCATATGTGGCATTTTCTGTTTGTAATACTTTTTCTTTCTCTACCCATTCTAGTGCCTTCCTATCTTTCAAAATGTTGTCTTAAAGTTATGGGTTCCCTAGTATTATATTTATTTACTTCTCTGTCTCTCGGTGCCTTTCATTTCTGTATTGCCAGTACCTGGTATAGTGTATGGCACATAAAAAATGCTCAACAAATATTTATTTAATGAATGCAGAAAATGAATGAATGAATAAAAGGGACAAGGAGGAGAATGGGTAAAGATGATGTGAGAATATTTCTTCAATTGGAGAGGAGAGTTCCCAGAGAGATAATTACAAACATTTCGCTTAAAGAAAGCGATTTCATTTCTCAAGAGTAAGAGAACATGTCAACATTTTCTGTAGATTTTAGAGAGCAACATTAGCATGACTACTGTATCGGACACTAGATTACCTTGCCTTACATTCCCCTCCAACGAGCATTATTCATGCCATTGTTAGGGTAAGCTACCTGCACTGTTTTTACCACCTTGGCCACCACACACCTGGGAGTTCCTGTGCACAGTACTGATTGAAAAGGAGGCACCAGCTCACCTTTGCCTTGAGAAGACTGTACCCACTGATGCCCTGACAGCCCAGAGAGTCCCCCAGTAGCAGCCAGAGAGTACAAGTAACACTACTTGAAAGTAGCAAGGGATAAACTCAAATCAATGAAAAGAAAGAAGAAGGGGAAAGCCAGGAGATAAACTGCTTGCCTTCTTGCCCTCTTCCCACAGTGCCTGCTCTGACCCAGCAGTTTAATGCAGCCTCTCGGGAGATGTCTCTCAATATAGCACCCATTTGTTTGCTCTTCTTCTTCCTTTTTTTCCCCTCAACTCTTGTGGATTGTACCATCCAATAAAGTGTTAATATTAAGTGTTTGCCTGGGGTTCTGTTTCTAGAAAACCTGGGCTAACTAAGTAATTTTTAGAAATTTTTGGTGTGAAATATAGCATGCATTTTTAGAAACACAACAAATTAAATAAAACATATCTGAAATGAAAACATTCATTGGTTTGCATTGGGTTATGGTTGGATACTAGGTAGAGTAGTTGTAAAGAAAAGTCCCTGAAGGAGAATGAACAGTCAAGCAACAAAGAAACAGTAATTCTTGTAAAGAATCAACAGGAGATAATCAGAAACACATGGGTATGGTGAGTACAAATGTAGTCCCTGAACAGCAAATTCTCCATTAAAGGAAGATATACTAAGGAGATTTTTTCTCTCATTGTGTTTGTTTATAATTTAATGTATTCCTATGTTATGAAATATTAAAATGTTAGATTCCAGAAAAATAAGCAAATCTACTGAGTGACCTACTTCAGTGAAGACAACTGAAATTGTCTTCGGTTTATATATTAAATTGAAATAATTTTAAGACAGGACAAATCATCAGCCAAAATTCAAGCAACTAATGTTGAGAGAAAACCCAGAAGAAATGACAGAAGTACATCTGCTTAGCAAGCCTCTTTGGAAAGTTAAAATGGAAAAAAAGAATTAAAATTTGGCCAGAAAGTGGGAGAGAGCTTCCTCACTATGGAAAGTTGGCATATACTATACAATGATCTCAATCTATACTGAAAACAGTTTTAGACATTGAACCAGATCCCAATTGTAAAGGTGTAAAGGGCACAGTCAGTCACACACCTTTAAACATTTGCTACTACAGAACTCTCCGTTGCTAGGCTGATACAGTATAAAAGGTCTTCTCTTAGAAACAACTAAAACCGAAAGACTGGGACATACTTATTGCTCATTCATGAAAGTATGGAAACCATGACATGATAAACACTCTGTGAGTATAATTTGGCTTCTGAATGTTTATTCCTGCAAATTCTACAGCATTCATTGAATCACTTTTTAAAATGTCCTTGGGTAGATATTTTAAGGTTGTTTTTTTTTTTCTCTCTTTTAGATTTATAAATCCAGCTACTACTTCCACTTCTTGGAGGGGCAGTTTGTTTAAAGTTTAAATATATTGCTTTTTACACACTTTTCATGTTTCTTGGTATTTCTTTGGGTCTGAATATTTGAAGAGAAGCATGATTTTTCCCAAAGAACTTCACATACACAAATACACAATATTTTGCATAAAATGCTTGGGTTTGGTGGACATATTATACATCCAAATACTTTCTGGATTCTATGAACCTTAGGTCAAAACCAGCTGTTTTAAGAAACTTTATAAATCACTAAAGATGAATGGACACAG